CATTTCTTATTTACTTCATCGAGATAACCGTATTCTCTAACTTTTCTATGCGTTATCTATTTATCAAAGCATGAGGTTTGTTGGCATGGTGGCTATCGGGCTAACACGTCAAAAGTTTCTTGCTTGTTTGCTGGCTCTGCTTTGTTGGGTAAACAAAGAGGTATAATTTGCGTTTTCTTCTTTCTTCTTAAGGGATTTTTCTTAACGGATTTCTGCGATTTTTTTCGCCACTTGCGCAATATTTAGCACCCCACCCCCACTCCCACTGCGAATCCAAACCAATCTTATCGTAATCTTCGCTTTCAGTTTTCCAAATGTTCTGTGGTTTCAGTTTGTGAAGGAAGGACTCTACAAGAACGGCCAAATAATGGTGCATCCAGCCACACAGGTCTCTATGGTTGTCTGCCCGCAAAACTGCAACAGAACAACTGTGAAAGAAAGCCACGTCAACAATTCTCTAGCCAACTTTTCTGAAGATGCTCGAAAACAGTGGCTATTTCCTTTACTTTGTGTTTTGTCTACCTTGAACACTTTTATGGGGAGCCATCGGATTTTTCTTATGTGTTAAAATAAATATATGTTTCAAGAGTAAACTAGGAACAACAGAGTGCAACAAAATCATTTTGACTTGTTTTGTTTGTTAACTGCTGTTTTTGGCCGCAGTTCGCCTTGCGAATGTTTCACAAGAATGCTGGGTTGTGAACAAAACTTTCGCCCCAGGCGGGACTAGAACCCGCACCTCTCGCTTTCCGGGCAAGTGCGCTACCAGTTACGCTACCGGGGCACCATTTCATCCCAACTCAGCTTTTTATAGTAAGCTATGAAGAGCTGAGTTGGGATGAAATGGTGCCCCGGTAGCGTAACTGGTAGCGCACTTGCCCGGAAAGCGAGAGGTGCGGGTTCTAGTCCCGCCTGGGGCGAAAGTTTTGTTCACAACCCAGCATTCTTGTGAAACATTCGCAAGGCGAACTGCGGCTAAACGTAATCTATTTGGACCAAACAAGGAATAGTTGTGCGGCGCTTTGGTCGAATCTCTCACCTACATTATATAAACCACAACCTTGGTGTGTCGGTTTCGGTGTGTATGTCTGTCTGTGTGATATGTACCCTGTTTCCAAAAACCAGAGGCGCGTCGAGTGCAGACCATACGCCACAAGTGATGGCGGCTTCTCTAGAATGTATATTTTTAACGAGCAAGAATGAGATGAGTGCAGCCGTCTGTTGACAGTTGTATTCTCATTAGTAGGATCATTAATTTACAACTCCATATACCAAGCCATAAGCAATCAACCACTGAATGATGTCACTAAGCTGCAAGATTCTTGGAGGCCGTCGTCACTTATGGTGTGTGTTCTGCACCCAACGCTCTTCTCGTTTCTCGAAAAGGAGTGCATTCGACATTCGCAAAAATTGCATTAAATGATTTATTGTCTCTAAGAAGTCAATCATGAATTGCTGCAACAACACCTATGTAAATGCGTATTGGCAGCGAAGTTCTGTTGGCTGAAGGAGCTTTGCAAGCGGAGATTCAACGGCTGCTTCGATCAGTTGTCAGTTGATAAGCGAAGGATTTTCGATTTACACTTTTTCGGACAGACTTTCACTGGCAGTGGTTTACTGTGTTGAAAAACGTGTCCTGCCACTATATCGCCTTCTTTCATGAACTAAAAACTCAAGAACTGTGCAAAAACGCGTACATATTGAGAATAGTGAAAGAAGTCGTGCCACGTACGTTCCACGTCTGGCATCCTTCCAATGAGTGCTCTCTCGGTCCATGTTTTCCCAACGGTCGACTGAAAACGAACCTCAAACGCTTAGCTGAAAAGAACTCTCTAAACGACTTGATCTTATATGAGAAGCATCTAGATGATCTCACATTTGTAGGAGAGCAGTAGTTCTTGAACGACCGGCATTGGATCCAAAGCCACCCAACCATAACCATACGTGAATCCCGTCGCTAACGATGTTCTGTTCTCGTGAATTTTCGCCACAACTATTTCGAGGTCATGCTAAAACAAAGAGCTTAGCATTACAGAAACTGAACTACGTAGGAATGGCAATTTTCCTGATGATTTTGGGCTCTAGGAAAGTGTTGGGCAACGCTCCTTCTTTACCGTATATAACCCTTTGACTACTGGTGGTAAGCATGTGTACCACTTTTGTAATCAAATTCACTACACTGCTTTGGGACAGGAGCGCCCGCTTGATGGCAGAATCGTACACAGATAGGTCCCCCCTAAATTGTGGTATCAGATGCAGCCAATATATGTTTCTGAAAATGCTCATCTGAGCAGGAATGGTGTATGGCGAAAGGGGCTACCGTGAAAATGGTCTTTGAATCAAATCTCGGGCGGAACCGCGAACAATTGAGACGTAGGTAGGGGTGAAGGGGGGTAGGGTGTGGGCCGAAGCCGAGCCGGTACCATGTAGGTGTCATACGTGATGAATACATAACATCATCCAGAATCTCACTGTATACGTCCGTCTTCACCAGTTCGCGAATCTTGAGAAACTATCGTGTTGTAAAGTGGTAGGGGATTGAATAGGCTGTGGACACCTGAGCTGGATATCCCCACCATAGAGCTTTCACTTTATCTAGAACGACGAGATTAAACCCTTTCGGACCTGAATTTTTCCCCGTGGAGAAATTTTTCTTCTAGCTATTGTTTATTACTTGTGAGCATATAGGTATCATTATGGCGAAATTTGGAAGCTATTCGATCACAAACAAAGAAACTAAGAAGCTTTGAAAATTGGCCCACCTTCTTAGTTTTTAAGCTTATGTCGAAACAATTCGAAATTTCATAGTTATGCCGAAAAAGTTTATAATCTTGCATAACATTATAACCCATAATTTTGATTTAGGAATGGATCTACTTCAAGTATTTTAAGACAAAGTCACACTTACTTGGCCGGTTGCGGGGGTCAGCGCCCATTCATTGTTGCACTTGTACACAAATACTTGTAATACTAACAGCAACACACAATGAAATGGCAGGTTTAGCTCATAATTAGGAAGGGGAAGGTTGACTGAAGCAACCTCTAGCAGGATTAGAAAAACCATGCTGTTTCAGCGGCAATGCAAGCGTTTGAATTTGGTGGTGGCAATTGCCACCGCCAGGGCCGAAAGGGTTAAACTGATAATCTGCCGAAGCGGTAAGGAAATGTTGTTAGGCCGTTTCAGTAGAAACGTTTCTGGCGCAAGTATCAGTTGCCTTCGGAAACTAGTGTTCGTATAAGTAGTGCCCGTGCGAGTGCTGGATCAAGACTGCATAGGATTTCAGAAGTGGTGAGCTGGACGTCAAAAGATAGATTCTAAAAATGTGCGCATAATATGACAGTGTGGATCGTTTACGCTCTGGCGATGGCGTCTGGGGTCTGAGCAGTTGAGAGCCATGAAGATTGCACCTTTATTGTCAGGAGTGATTGCAGCAGCATTTGCGCGATCTTAAGGGGGGGGCCAATTCCAGGAGAAAAGTGTCTGGAGCGGCCGGCTCAGAAGCCACTGTATGAAAAGGGTAGGGAAACCTTTATAGAAAGAGAGCCAGAAAGGTGGAAAAGAAATTTGTCAAATTTGGAAAAAAATGTCAACGCTAAACAACATTTCAGTGAAGAAGGATTGTCTTCAACGGTCGAGAAGGGATCCCAGCGAGAACTTTTGAGCGCTACTGTATGTACAGGTGTAGTTCATTCCTTATCTTGAGCAAAGTGTTTCACCGTTTACATAACTAATAAAGCATAAAGCATTTGCCGTTGATCAATCCCTTTTTGGGATGCGGCACGCATTCTACTTCATTTGATTCGTAGTGGCGTTTGAATGCGATGTGGCCTATACAATGACTTGCGGGGGCCAGCCGATGTACAAGTCAGTTTTTATCCTCCCAGACAAGTCTGGTACCAATTAACCGACCCCGGAGGGATGGAAGGCTTGGTTGGCCCGGGCGACTCACGACCCAGGATTTGATCCCGGACCGCTCGCGTGGTAAGCGCGCCACTTGCCACTACACCACTTCCGCCCTCACATAACAAATACGAGAAGTTAAAGCAAAAATACATAGCTGACCAAATCCAACTTCTCACCATTGTCTCGCCAAACGCAATGCCTGCCCAATGCTCGTTGTCTATGTTATCGTTAGAAAACTCAACAGTTATGGTTTCACCTGTTACCTGAAAAAAACCTCACATAAATGCACCTATGGGGCGTAAATAATTTCGCTCAGTTTCTAACACGAGTAATCTAACAAAGCTGTTCACTCGCCATCCATATCGATGACATGTTACCATTTCTGTATGCACACTGTGCTACCGCTGCCGGTACCAGTACCATGAGCAGAAAGGCCCGATTCATCTGAAAATGTATTTCATTTTCATTAAAAAGAGCTCCATAGCTATGGAATTCAAGAATGGCTAAAGACTTAAAATTTCAGTGCAAGAGAGCTGTTAACAGTTGTGATAAGACGTTGCAGGAGGCAATTAAGTACAGTATGGGGTAGGAGCGAAAGTAGTAAATTTGGCAGCTGTCAATGAAAAAACGTCGAAGCAGTCTCTCGTCAGCAAAAAGCAGAAGGCAACAACACATATTCGAGCCCATTTTGCATATCTGATACATTACAGAAATGAAATCGGATATCCAGACGGAGCCAATAAGAATTGACATTTTGTCTCCACATTCATTTCGATTTAGTCGCACTTTGTTAAATCCAAATCGAATGCTCCCAACTTAAAGGAGGATTTCACGATAAGAACGAAGGTCGAAGCAGGAGTAAATTAT